CACAATCACTTTCTCAAGGAGGTTTTCCACACATCTCCAACTACAAGTTCGCAGCTAAACAAACTAGGTTTTATTAGTTTAAATCAATCTACTGCTCTTAGTCTAGCAGCCATAAGAACTGCACATAAAAAAATGTGCATCCAGGAATGTTTTCAATGATTTTGTCAATTATCCCTCAGTCACAGGTTTGTTTCGGAAGCAGAGAACAATGAAGCTCAAGGTAAGGTGTTAGTATTACTTCATCTGTTATTGTGTTCCATGTGAGCTGTGACGTGCAGTGTTATGGCCATGGCCTGAGTTCTCTCCCATTTGAGCAGGTAGTGAGACATTAGAATGCTGAGTACCTGACTAGAGACACTTATAAGAACCATAGGTCATTGTATTTAATATTTCTGTACGACACATGTGAACATAATCTGTCACTCAACTATTAGGGATGGTGGAGTCGGAAGTAGTTAGATCAACTTGCAGAAAAAGCTCATACATAGAAACGAAGATGTTTTTTTTTAATTAGCACACTGCACGAATATAATGCAGGAACATGGTCATGATACAAACTGAATTTGCTGCAGAAACGTGCATCTAAAGTAATCACTGAATTTCTCTGTCCAACTTGCTTTTATATGCATACACGGTATGTATTAGATGTAACACTATCACTTCAAAAATGCTAATTTTTGCATATGTATGCATTTGTTAAGGTTTGAGTTCTTGTTTTCTACATTCAGTACATAGATAGACATGATCGCATGCTGTCTATTTTATGGCTCAAGCAGATCAAGGTTTCTATTGGTTCACATATCTCGCAAGGTGTTTTTGTTTTGGACACGTAAATGTCATAGCCATGTTCTGAAAGAATTTGTGAGAAAACTATATAGCAGGTAAGCAAACCACATCTCAGTGTAGCTAATTTATTTATCCAAGTAAAGAAACTTTTTATTGAAATTCACAATCAAACAACACTCTGTAGAATATATACCTATGTTATAAAATAAAAGGCACCTGTTTTTTAATAAACATGCTTTCGAGCTTTATTCTGCTGCTTTAAGCACTAGTTATCAAATTTTATTTCAAACTTCGATGGCAGATGACAAGAATCGCCACTATTTTGAAAAAAAGTGCTGCTGACATCCAAAAAATAAGAGCTTTGCATAATAAAAAATGATCACATACCTGCCTGTAGAAGAGTGCTGCACAAAGGTACACATATTAATGTGCATATTAAACGTGTAGTTAATTAACCTATCAGACAACCAGCATGGCAACTGCCTGCACATTTCAGAAAGGAGACCAACAGAACATCAACAGGAGACTAACAGAAAGGGAAAGCTAATATTCAAAATATTTCACTTGGATTGACTAGTGTTTGCTATGAATATTACAGATCACTACTTGAAATTGTAAAATAATTTATTTCAAACAAGACTATAAGGGACAAGAACACTTATCGGAGTTTGAAAGAAAAACATAACTGTGAATGTAGGGCTACTCTCAACAGGATAGCTGCAGTTGATGTGTAAGGGCTTCCTAATGAATCTACAAGGCACCACACAATGAACATTTAATAATTTACAGTAACTCAATTTGGGTGGCTTGCTTTTAGGTAACTATAGTTTGTACATAAATTTGTAGCTACTTATTATTTGACCAGTATCCTTACATTTACATTCTTTAAAATAATGTGTAGTTGTGTGTAGCACCATACTTCTCCTCTACCGCAGGCACAACAGTACGTACATACATCGGGTAACATGCTTCGAAAATATTACTATATTGCCATAAATAATTCAAAGCTATCATTGATCATTTACAAGACCATCAGTTAATTGTATGGTTCATTATGAACAGTAGTATACACATAAGCTTCAATGTATATAAGCCTGATTTTTACTATATCAAATGGATTATGCGAAAGGTTTATATTTTATGTTGCTTAATATGATAGCTTTTTGTAGTACATTTGATATTCAATGCCCTTTTTAAATATGTATATTAAATTCAATTAAATATGCTTCACTGTTCATAATGAACACCATACATAACAGTGCTTCGGTACCTCTCTTCCATTGTTGTAAGCATAACTGAATGAATAACTAAACACGTTACTTATATTAACAAAAAAAAGCACGCTGTTATGTCCGGTGTTGTCGTCGGCCCATAGACGTACGCGTTGGTCGCGGTAGTCCAAAAAAGCTCAGACAGCCTCGAACGGTTAAAAACAAGTTTATTCCTATTCGGATGGAGGCGGCGGCCGAACTGCCGGGGGAAACGAACGGTGGCTCGTTTGCGCCGAGCGGGGGAAGGGGAGGAGTCAACATCTGGAAGCAGTTTCAGCAACCGGTCCTTCGCGGGTTCGGAGCGCTCGTGACACAGGGGTGCTTGGAACACAACATCTCCTCCCTCCTTAGCTTGTCGCTTGGAAGCGATCTGGGGGCCGCCGTGGGCGCGTTGACGCTCTGGACGCACTAGGAGAGAAGCCTCCGCTCGCTGGGTGTCGTTTCTCTTGTGTTCAGGGCCGGCGGGCGGCGGGACGGGCGGCGGCGCCGATTCATCTGGTGCGAGATGCCAGGCTAAGTGGAACGAAGCTTCCGTCGAGGTGGCTGCTTGAATGGGAGGTTCCCTTGGCAAATTACCTAAACGGCGTAGCTGATTAAGGTGGCGGCGTGTGGCCCTTCCACCAATTTCGACGAGCCATGACCGCAAACCTATGCGTTTGAGTGCCGTCGCTTCAACCCAGCCGGGCTTTCTGTGGAACTGGCGGGCGCATATGCGCTGTCTACTTTCAATTCTCCTGCTATGTGGGAGCTTTTCTTCCTCTGACGGTGCTTTCGCTGAGGGCTCCGGGACAATTGCTGTCAGCTGGGTTCACATTTCTCGTCCGAACATCAATTTCGCTGGCGTTTGATCAGTAGTGCTTTGAACAGTGTTGTGCTGTCTGAAGCGAAAGCGCGCGATGCGGCGTTGCATTGTCCCAGTCTGGTCCTTAGTAAGGGCGCGCTTTAGCTCAGCCACGTAGCGCTCGGCTTGTCCGTTCGTAGCCGGGTGGTAAGGAGCTGATGTAACAGACGAGACGCCATTGTCGCTGTAAAACTTGAGAATCTCCGTGGACACAAACGGAGTGCCGTTGTCCGAGACCACCTTGCGCGGTAGGCCAAACGTTGCAAACAACGACCGCAAAGTGTCGATAACTGCTGCCGATGTCGTAGCCATTTGTTTTACCTCCAGCCACTTGGTGTATGCGTCTACAACCACCAGGAACGAACACCCTTCGATAGGTCCAGCAAAATCAATGTGCAGGGTGTGCCAAGGCGTGTCTGGTCTTTCCCATTCAGGAATAGGAGCTCTTGGCGGGCTTCTGTGGTTGCATTGGCAAGGCTGACAATCGTGAACTGTAACGGCGTTTAAGTCATATAGTGCCGATGACGTTAGTGCTGTTCGGCTTGTATCTTGCGTCTGGCCCTCCTGTGCGTCGACATTGTTGTTCCGTTGCACTGAAGTCTTCGGTCCGAGCTGTTTGCGCTTCGAGATGCATGCCTTTTCAATGTGTCCCAGTTTTTGGCAAAAATTGCAGGTCGCTGTCTTGTATCGACATACCTGGGGATCGTGCATGTCGTCGCATCGCCAACAGCGCTGTGTCTTTCTGCTTGATTTCGCCTTAGACGTGGAATGACCTGACTGCTGACTGGTGTGATGCACCGGCTCGACGTTCCGTCGAATATTCCTCTGCTGGTGATCGGCGCTCTCCGCTCGTTGGGCGATGTCGTAGGCTTTGGAGAAGGTGAGACCCGTCTCCGCGAACAGGCGTTGTTGTAGGCCTGCGTCACGCAGTCCGCACACAAAACGGTCACGCAACATAACGTCCAAGGGGAGCATAGTGGTGTTAGCAGGTGTGGCAGTCGATCCTCCCTCCTGCGCAGTAGCTGCAGCTGTCGCGGTCAACGTCCCGAAATTGCAGTCAGCAGCGAGCTTTTTGAGAGCTGCTATGTATTCGGCCACTTTTTCGCCTTCCAGTTGGTCTCGCCGTTGGAAGCGGGCTCGACAGTAGACCTCCGATGGCCTTGGGTCATAGTGCTCTTGTAGCGCTGCTACGATGTCGTTGTAGTCAACGGCTGCTGGAGTGCGTGGCTGAATCAGGGCACAGACTGTGTCGTATGTCTGCTCCCCACACAGCGTTAGCAGGTTGGCCCTCTTCATTGCTGCATCAGTGATGTTGTTAGCCTCGAAGTAAAATTGCAGGCGTCCAAACCACGATGACCATGATGAGCCATTGAATTCGGGTAGCCAATTTGGGAGCCCGTGCGTAGCCATAGCTTGTAGCTTGTCAATATCGTTGCGTAGCGTTGGTCCAAATCCACTTCCTCGTCGCCACTGTTATGTCCGGCGTTGTCGTCGGCCCATAGACGTACGGGTTGGTCGCGGTAGTCCAAAAAGCTCAGACAGCCTCGAACGGTTAAAAACAAGTTTATTCCTATTCGGATGGAGGCGGCGGCCGAACTGCCGGGGGAAACGAACGGTGGCTCGTTTGCGCCAAGCGGGGGAAGGGGAGGAGTCAACATCTGGAAGCAGTTTCAGCAACCGGTCCTTCGCGGGTTCGGGGCGCTCGTGACACAGGGGTGCTTGGAACACAACACACGCGTTACTATGTTGCATTACCTCAAAAAAAAAAATATGGGGGGGGGGGGGGGGGTAGTGCATTACCATCACAGAAAAAGAAGTAACACAAGTTACTTGAGCTCTTACTCTATGATCATAAACTTGAATCGTGCATCCTTGCTGTAGGAATCCCAAGTAATGATGTTATAAGGTCCATATTTGTAGTTCACATGAAACTTCTAGCCCAAACATTGATTTCAACTGAAATACTGATTTAATCAGAATACTTCGCACAAATATGCTGAAACACCGCAATATCATTGTGGCCTATGAAGTTGCTTGTAAAGATGCATAAGATGGCTTCCAACTGTGGCACATGGTAAAGCTATTTTAAAGGGGCCCTCCGACATTTTTTCGACAGCTTTATTTAGCACCGGAACATATGTATCAATAATTACTAAGACAAAGGCAACAAGAATCATGGAAATTGGTGCACAAAAAGTGAAGTTGTAGCCCAAAAGCTCAAAACTCGAGCAGACAGTGACGGGAAACATTCTCTTTCACATTTCACAATAATTTGACAGGCCATACAAGCACAGTTCAGATTTGCCCACTTCAAACAGCTTCACACACACACATTTCAGCATCGACCATGCATAAAGATTATGCGTCACCAGCACCGTCATAATCGAGCTGAATGTCCAATTCACCATAGACACTCCTAAGCATGTCGATCACTGAACACTGAATGAAATCTACTTCTTCCGGAGGACAGTAAGCATCAATGCTAGAACGAGCTATTGTTATCACCGCTGGCACTGCACACAAACTCTGGAGGAAACGAGCTGTGCTGGCAATGAGATCTGAGACTTCCTGCTTCGAGCTTGGGTGGTGGGGCAACGTTGAATCTAAATCGCATGTGCAACCAGCTGCATGCACCAAATCCGCATCCAGAGTTTCACCAATCGGGGGTCGTTCCTTCAGGTCGCGGCATAAAGCCACCAGCTCAGAGGGGCATGCAGGCTCTTCAAGGCCATTTTTATCAAGCGGCTCCTTTAGGTTCTCGATGTCACGCAACTCATAGTCAAGACAGGTTTTCAGATGTTCGAGTTGCCTTGCGCGGCCCTCTTGAGCTTCCTGCAGCAGTTTTTATAAAACATTTATAGCTCAACAATAATTTCCAAAAGAATCCAAGGGAACCACAAAGTTTTTACTTCAAAATGTTTAAGTGCCTTGACAGAGTCGAATAAAAGGACATCAAGGTTTCATTTAGCTTCTTAGTAGCTCCATGCCTTAGCTTGTTCATGTGACTGACGTCCCAGTTATGTGAATCTGCCTGGGCAGATAACTGTGAAAAGCAGCTTAATTGCCATTACAAGCATACCCAGCCTGTAATGGCACTTTATTTTTACCATGTTTGATAACAGATTGATGGGAAAAATAAAATTGATTATTATATGTATTATATGATTATTATATCAAATTGATTATTAATGCCCAGGAAGCACAACTCTTGTGCTTATTCTTCATTGTTGTTCATGCTTCTATGTCCCTCAACTAATCAATTGGCCCACAAGTTTGTTGTATCAAGCATGTCACTAAAAAAGTCTTGCGCAAAAACTGCCAGAAACACTTTAGGCCTTGCCATCCAATTAGCAATAAAAGTAGTAAGCTAACAAAACAGGCTAATTGTGGATATAATTGTCAAGGTACAAAAAGGAGAATTGCAGAGAAATTTACAGTGTTTCCAGCAAATTGTATGTTTACTATTGCTAGCAAATAGTCATTGAAATATGAGAATAATCATGTGACATTTGTACATACAGTGTAAGAACACTTTCAAACAGCCTCTGTTCAATTTCATGTATTCATCTCAAAGCAATTCTTGAAAAATAGGGTGATGACGGAGCAGAGTGGGTAAGACGCAACTGCAGTGACATGTTGATTTTTGTCCTCTCTTTGCTATCTACGTTGTTTGTCCAGAATAAGTCACATACAAACTATTCCAAAAGGACACAATATTAAACAATGCATTTCCTTGATTGGTATGCAATAGCTGCCAGCAGATGTTGGTCCATTGTGGAAATGATACTTGTTCTGTTAATGTTTCCACTCAACTCAGTAACACATGAACAGCTTGTTCCCCACAGAGACTGTTCGGTGAAACCATGGGTATATGAACGCTAGTGACATATACTTAATACAAGTTCTTCAAATAACTTGAGACAGTGTTCAGTCTCTGTTGCTCTACCCACGTCATTTGATGCACAGGAATACATTCAATGAACAGCTCTCATGCACCGAGACTATGCATGTCCTTTGGTGCCCTAGCACAATCAGAACAATAAATATTCCACATCAACTAATTTAAAGTACAAAAGGTGTCACTTATATTTTGTTATTCGCCAGATCGTGTATAAGACTGCCGAAGTTCTGTGACCACAAACCTTGATCTTTTGGGTGTCCTGCGAATCTTTGGGCCAGTCCCAATGGTAAAGCTTTCTCAGCCAGGCCATCTGGCTAGTAGTGAACATGAGTGAAAATGGGTCCGTGCGTGCTGTAAAAGTCCAGATCAATGTCTAGCACCAGCTGTCGCGAGCTTGGCCGCCAGGTCCTCCTCTGGGAATCGCTGTGCAAGCAGCCAATCTAGCGGTCGCACCCTAAGGGTCATACCATGTGCACCAGACAACTCTTCACTTGGTGACCAAGCACATTCACTAAGGAAGTATGGTAGTGCGCTGGAAACCTTTGCTCGTCCATCCTACAAGAGACACATTAGCCGCAAGATGAGTCGATGCCCGGGTTTGTTGGTGGGCATTGCTGAAACATAGCGTTTTACAATGACATATGTGCATACAGCATTTGCTCTTGGAGAATGCCATAGTGTTTATCTGTGTTGTTTTCATGCTGTTCATTTTTCGAAGTGCAGTGAAGAGTGTCTCATTTTAACCCCACGATGTTACTAACCTGCCCATCTACTTTTCTTAACCCATTAAAGGGGTCATGAAACAAAAGCTGCCAAGTTTTAATTTTCCCTGATTCAATAAGGATTAGACATGAATATTTTGAAATATTTCTGTGCAATATCCAGTCTATAATTACTTACACTTGAAGTTGCAGTTTTTTCGGGATTATAAACGACCATGCAGCCCTACCGGCCTCCATAGGCACTAACATATGACGTCAGTAAAACGCCGTGGTAGGAGAAGTTATAAACAGAGCTTCAGCTTTCTTTTGCTCCAAAATGATATATTTACAGGACCCTAGAAAATAAAGAAATAACACAGCAATTTTTGTGCTCTGAGCTTCTGCTTGGTTCCATTTTTAAGTAGATCTGGGCTCCAGTCATGTGTTGCCTTTGCTCGCTCGGCCACCATAGCTCGGTGCAGCGTTCCAGTGTTCCTCTTACTGGTTGCGCTGGGACGTACCTTATGGCGTGTTTTGGGCAGCTTAGTTCTCGCTATGCTTATTGTGTGCATCATCAGAAAATGCTGCACAACTTATTCAAGCGGAAACAATGTTCGTGACGGGATTTACAGTGCCTCAATCAAGACTACGGTTCTACGAACCTCGGTCAACTATGGCTCAGCAAACATGGCTGCGTTGCCATGTTTTGCCAACGACAGGCTTCTCATTGGTTGACTTCTAAGTGTCATCTACTGTACACTTGTGGGGAACGTGAGCGGGAAATCCAAATTGTGATTTTATATCTGTTGAATGAACTCTGCCGATGAAGCAGCAACCCCTTTAAAGCCTTTTGTATTTAACAAAGTACACTTCCTTCTTCATGAATGGAACCAGAATATTCTGATCTTGCTTATTGGAATTTTAGACGCCATAGTTGCAGCAAAATAATTTTACCTTGGCATATTGACTCCGCTCTATTTTTCCGTTCTATGATAAAACGAGAGTGCTCCAAATGCCCGTGGTCAGTGCTCCTTTTTTTATAAATTTATTGGAGGTTTTACAAAATATATGTTGAAAAAACTGATTGTTTGCGCTTCAGCAATCCCTGCAAAAAGCACAGAAAGTGCATAGTTTTACTCTCAGGTGCGATCAAATATTGGTGCACTTTGCATAGTACAATGGGACTTTGTGGGAGCATACATGTGTCTATTGTTGTGCGTTGCCTCCGGCGTGCGTGCGCGCGCGTGTGTGCTGTGTGCACACGTGCGTGCGTGCGAGAGAGAGAGAGACTGGAGCTTTTTTCAGTTATCTGGGACACGCGAGGCTGCCCTAACACAGAAACTTATGAGGAGAAGCAGACTGACGACAGTATAAATGGATGCTATCTGTCTACGCTTAAAGTTCTGATCCAGAAAACAAGTTTTGTTTCGTAAAGGTCAAAGGCAACCGCACAGTTACTGTGCTTGCAAACAACAAAACATGGAACGCATGAAAGGGGTTTAACTCGAGGACCAAGCTGCGAATAACTGCAGAATTTTCATCCCTCACAAAAAATGGTACCAGCCCCTGATTACCCAGACCCAGATGATCGAAGTGGTCGCAGAAAACGCACACAGAGTTTGCTACTGCAATAGAACTTTCAGCAAAACCTCTACGCATTGACTATTGTTATTTAATCGCATAATAGCGAGACACTGCGCCTTGTAGCACCCAGGTGAAGTATTAAGAGATCTCCAGCGTCCACTGTGCTTGTTATAGCCCTTTATCCATATGAATGTTTTCACAAGAAGCTTGTAAAAACACTGAGCTGTGCCACAACATATCGAAATGGTCTTGCACAAAGCGTAACATTATGCTTTGCAATAAGTTCTGGTGCTTTAAAAAGTTGCGTGGGCCAAGGTAGCTTTGGTATTAGTTTGTCAAAAGCCTAACTAACGCACTCTCATTTCGTGCATCAGACCCACTTGACTGTTGCCATGTCGAGAGCCCACCATACTTTATAAAATACAGTATCAACATCTGAAAAAAAAAATGCGTGAAACTCTATGGCGATTTGCACGTGCTGTTTTTATCACAGTTAATTGAATGTGCAAAATCTCAATAAATTTCAACCAGTAGTTTCTGCATGAGCCTTAATGGGTAAATGAATTATAAGTTTTAGCCAACGTCTCCCAGCTAAGGGAATAAAGCCACGAAGTTGAATGAGATGTAACGAAACCGCGCACTCATCCTATCTCTGTCCCTTTGGTCTAAATTAAGTAACTTAGTAATTACGAAAACGTACAATAAGATACAGTGAAAATGAGGGCAATTTACAACGAGATACAACAACCAGAATAAGAAATCGGACGCGAAGCGAACGTATTCGGGCTGGTTCGTTCACACTTGCTAGGTAAACAGCACGAAAAACATTTCATATGCCGCTTGGATAAAACTCTAGACATCAAACCTAGGTGCGAGAGTTTTACTGCACGGCAGCATTTTACTAGTCCACAAGTGCTGTATATCAAGCGAATTGGTTGCTAGATTGGCAACGCTTGCAGAGAAATAACAAGTTTCTCAGTTCTTAACTGTATTTAAAGAACTAAACCAACCCGGCAGCATTTGGAACCAGGAATCCGCACGACAGCAGTGGTCAAGTAAAGGCGGCACTGAGGCAATAAACAAATCGCACATAGATGTACTTCGTCTTTTTCGTGCGAGCGAACCACAGTGTCAAAGTGAGCTTGCCTTTTCACCAATAAGAAAGCAGTGGTCACCGTCAGGCAACTGATCAGACCAAGGTGACCGAACCCAGAGCAGGCGGTCAAAGTGGCCTGCCACAGCGGCAGGCATGATCCAGCTTTCGATGTCAATAGACGACATCACATGTTCGCGATCCTGTATCTTCGACGGTTCGAGCTGCGCAGGAATCACAAGGTCCGGATGGGCATCGAAATGAATCATCAACAGGCCATCGAAGTTCAGTTTCTTGGATCCTATCGCGCGATAGATGTGGTCCAATGCATGGAAGTGTGGCTCAACTACACGAACCGGGACAGCGCGACCCATTTCACCAAATGCGGCGCTATTGGCCCGGCGTTGATGCGTTCGTTTGAAACTAGACAATTAATAAAGGCTATAGAAAACGCCTAGCCAACTTTCTGGACGCTGCCATGTTGTTTAAAATGATGATAATGATGGTGCGGTTGAAAACTTTCTCGAAAACATTCGTTGAGACGGTTCAGATCATCCTCGCCGTTCAGGTTTTATGAGTGAACAAAGCGTTTTGCCACGGCAGCTAAGATAAAGCCTTGTTTTTTTATCCAGCGGCCGTGGTTATGTTTACGGAGGTAGAAAAAAGAGGAGAGGGCATGCCCATCCGGCGCGCTACGTCATAGCGGCCATATTTTCTAGGCACATTGATGCTGTTGTTATGGTTACGTGTTGTGCAGTGTAGGTGATCTAGCAGTGAGCGGCGGCGGCATGTGCGCCTCCGTAGGTCTCGTACAGAGCCGTGGCGGACAATATCCGCGCTCTGTGCCCCGTTGTCAGTTACGCAGGGTTCTCCCGGCAGTTATTGTATTTCTGGAAACTTTTACGAAAGCTCTTGTTAGCCACTGGCCCTCAACAGTGCACATAACGAGCGCATATGCATGTGTCGTGCGAAATTGCGTTTGGTTACCATGACAAAACGGAACAACGACGGACGCCTTGCAGGTAAGTGACGGTTGTGCAGTGTTCTTGCTTGTGAGCACAGACGAAACATTTGTGGCCAGCAGGATGCACGGCACGAGGACGTCATGTGCACAATATACGTAGCTTTGTGTTCGAAATGTGTGCAGTAACAGCTTGCACGTGCGTATTAAAACACATTTTCTGTCTCGCTTCTATGCTCGCCCCCCAGCATTGTTCTCGTGGCGTTACAGTAACTACGTTCAAGTGTCACTTGCACCGTACTCAAAGTCAGCGCAATTGTACAATGCTCACGTCGGCGAGTCTTACGTGTAACACGGGCTCGGTAGCCAGGCAACTGCGTCAGTCGCGTGAGAGACGGAATGCAACCGTAGAAAGCGGTGTAGCGGCTGTTCGCGTTGCCTGTACAGTGCGTGAATTAATGACGTGAAAACACTGACACTGCACTCGTTGTTGCCAGTGGATCTAGCGCGCGTTCTCTTGTCCTTGATTTGTTATCACACAGCTGTTACTCGCTGTTAATACTCGGACGAAATGATTTCGCCAACGGTGTCGCGCTGGCCCAGCGTGTTAAGCCCCGCTTCGATGGTTTCGGTTCGCCGCGACGCGCATGCGGGGCAGTGCACGTGGTTTTTGCGCCGGAGAGAGAGTCGTGCCCTCTGCTTCACATTTGGATGTAAACAAGAGAGGAGAATGTGCCCAGTCAACATGGCCGACTTTCGGCTTCACGCACGGAGAAAGGAAAGACCTTTTCTTCCTCCATGGCTTCACAACAAGTGACGTCAGGACCTCCTCTTAGTAGAGCAACGCTGGTCCACCCCGACACGTTGGGAGCTTTGATTAAAAGCAACTGATTGTTGTGCGTGTCTCTAAATATTTTTTAATTATCGAAAATAGCAGTGATTGTGTTTATAAATTTGTTTATTAGCGTCACAGAGTTTTACGTTAAACGTATTAAATGAATACATAAATTTGCGATCGGCATCATCATCACTATCATCGTCTGCTTCGAATGGCTTCGAAGCTGCATTGAAAGGAGCAGCGGCTGCTGTGTCGGGAAATGACCATTCATAATTTGTACATATTCAGCCGTAATGGGGCCTTCCTCTACTACGACGAGTGGAAGAGGAGCAAGAACTCGGGCATGTCGAGGGATGAGGTGAGTGTTGCGCGCGATTGTTGCTTCCACAGGCGAAACCTGTCGTTATGTTGCAGGAGGCGAAACTGATGTACGGAATGATATACTCACTCAAGTCTTTCGTGGCCAAGATTGCCCCTGCGGATTGGTAAGGATAATAAATCTGCGTGGGGTTCTTGTTCCTAGAACTTTTGATTTCGTCGCAGCAACGACGGCTTTCTCAACTTCAAAACAAACAAGTACAGGCTGAACTTTTACGAGACACCGTCTGGCCTGAAGTTCATCATGAACACGGACACCAACGCCAGCAACGTGCGAGAGCTTTTGCACGACATTTACCATCAGGTATGTTGTCACCTTCGTGAAACCTTGTGTGTGTCATATGGAGTATTTATTTTGTAAAAGTAGCCATCGATTGCCAGTTTGTTCGTACGGGAGACGAGCACTTTTCTTCTTGATATTGCAACAGTTGTGCGAAGTAGCACAACCCACTGGGAACATCAACAGAACGAACATTCACCAATTCCTTTTATTGCGCTTTTGTTCCGAAATTAAGACAAACTTCCTAAACGAATCGCTCGCACTAACGGTGGTGTGCTCCATTTACAGCTTTTGCAATCACCCAGAATAACGCACATTTAAGGTTCACTTTGTCATGAACATTGATATGTGGTTTGCTATGCGAACAATTTGTGCTTCGATGCACCAACGCTGTCACCAATTCAATATTGCTTTACTGTGTGCCTTAGATAAACCTTCACAAACTTTTTGAAAGTTGTAAGGGTGCGAGGCGTACCATAAGAGCGCACACTCAAGTAAACAAGTGGCATGGTGCCAAAGGCTCTACCACACTTGGCTTATTCACTGTCAACACGGTCAAACAGCACAAATCATATAAAATAAGCTAAGCACCGACAACTACGAGGCAAAACTTGAACAAGCAAACAGCCCCCAAATTAGCAGGAGAACATGCAACTCATAGTGGCACAAGGATGAGTTCTTGTCTGACGGTTTTCCCCACGACATTCCGTGTAGTAGCTACGTTTTCTTCCCAAATATTGGCAATGCATGCAGCTACATTGTGCGTAAATAGTAACTTGAATGCATGACCGGTGTTGGTGATTTAGAAGTTTTTCTCGGCTCTTCTATCTACACTCCTGCAATTTTAATCGTTGCGCTATTCAAACATGCGCCTGTTTCTGTATACCACTAAAACGTAACTGTGTACGTGTACCCTTTCTGTGCTGTTCCCTATGATAGTACTGCATTGATTATACCAGTAAGCCATATTTTGAAGTTCACCACCAGTTTCCTGGGCTCTCTCAATGTGTTTTCATTTTGCAGTGTGTACATGTTGTCCTTACCTTGTCTTCATTTTCTGCCCTGCTTTCCGCAATGATGCAGTACGAACTCGTACAAAAAGCCACTTTTCTTAGTTAGCGTCTGACTTTTCCTGTGCAGGTCTACGTGGAGTATGTTGTCAAGAACCCAGAGTGCCAGCTGGGCAAGCCCATCACGAGTGAACTTTTCAAAGGAACAGCTGAATGCCTTCATTCTCAAGTCGCCACTGTACAAGTGAAAACATGCATTTTATTCACATCTGCCTCTCCTTCAATGGAGGCTCGCCCTAGGACGGCTGCGCCTGGCAAACACCTTGATGGTTCCACCAAAGTCCGCACTGATGATCACATAATTGCCCGTTGCGGGGCCCTCTGGCACTGTCGTGGTTTCCTTCTCGTCCAGTTGTTGTAGAACTAGGTCGGGGTTGGGTGCAAACACCTGCTGCTGTCACCACAGCATTGTGAGCTGCAAGACGACATGTAGCACACTTTGTAAGCACATTTCCATGTCTACCTTATCGCCAACACCGCTACACTTTACGCAGGAGGCATCTTGAGGTAATTGACAACCTTTTGTTTTCTTTGTCGCTCAAATTGTACGTGTGATCCTGCTATTTATGAATACACATGTCTGCTTCATCTCTGTTCTTTCTTTCCTAGAGGTAAAGAGTTATTGCTTGTTTCCCACTAAGATGTGTTTTTTTTTTCTGACACACAAACACATTTAATAAAAAAAAAAACGCACAGCGCTCCTCGACTTGTATAATCGTAAAAATTGTTTTTTGCTGCACTTAAACAATGACATGTCTTCACTCGCATAAGGAAATGTAAACATTGGGCAATGCATGAATACAACAGGACAGCTGCTCAAGCATAGTATTAAAATTTATGATGTGTGAAGAAATGTTAAAGCATTACTATGTTGCACTTACTACTTCTACGTTAAGAGAGAAGCACAGCAAGCCCAAAGTTCTAGTTTCTGGCTAACATTAAAGCTAAGCATTCATCGATTCCAAATTAAGTGTGCCGATTTCAAATAAAGATCCCCCAGAGAAGAGCCTCATTTTGCTCTAATCAGACTGTCTGCACAGTAGTCGTAAGCATTACAACAGTTTTACGGCGAAGGCTGTTATGAGACGACAAGAGTCACGCGCGCCGTAGTTGTCCACCACCGCCACTGGTGCCTGTAACCACTATAGCGTGCAATGAGAAAAAAGAATAAAAAAAATAAAGAATGCCAAAGGTTACTATGGGATTTGAACCCGGGTGCCCTGCGTGCCAGCCCAGTGTTCTACCACTGACCCACGCCGGTCCTTGAAACTTGGATGTAAGCCGACCCTAGGCAGGCTTGATGTCAGGAAAGGAATCTCATTAATATAAGTATTAAAGCATTTTAGAACAGCCGAGGAACAATCGGGCATCAAGCAATGAATTGCGTAACGAGTGGGTCGTCGGATGCTCCAACCCATTACTAAAGCTTCAGGCGTAATTCTTCATTGTCATCAGCCACAGCATCAAAAATTGCACAAAGTTCTTTGCAAGTGTGTAGTGGGTACCACGCATTTCCAAAGAATGTCGAAGGATAGCATAGTGAATGCCTCACTGTACATTTTATAATTATAGGTTGGTAAACAATAGTGTAGTTAACATGCACGGACTACAATAGGTTTTCTTGGCCAATCCCCCAGAGTGGGTATGTGCCGGAGTTGACAGGCCACAAACAAACCAACGGAATGCCGCCTAACTACACAAAATTTATGATGATTTATATGGTAGTAAGTACCCTGCAAGTGCACTTAATGCAGTTTTCCAACGAGTGTTTAAAAAAGGCTCTGAAAAGCCACTCTTCCAGCTTTCGCTGTGACTGTGCTGCACATTGCGTGCAGGCCTGGCTTTTTTTTTTTTATTGTGCTCTGCGGCAAGGCTGCAGTTTATGTCAAAAGAAGTTTAGAGAGCATGCCTAATGGGCATAACCATAGTCTCTATTGCTCTTAGTGTCCACTCAACCGCTCCCTTAGCCTTGGAAACATTTTCTCAACTGTTGCCATAATTTAGCGTGCAATATAGTGGAAGATAGGGACAACATTACAAGAGGCAAACATAGATAGATTTGTGGGGTTTAACGTCCCAAAACCACCATTTGATTATGAGAGACGCCGTAGTGGAGGGCTTCGGAAATTTTGCAAGAGGCAAACAGGGCAGTGGATAGAGAGGACAAACACTAATAGTAGATATTCTTGTTGGCATTAAAAGAAAAAGAGAAAAAAAAGTTGCCTGGACAGATCAGATAATGTGTAAGATCGGTGATCGGTTGCAGCAACATAAGGGTACCAAGAAATGAAAATGCTACCAAGAATGGCAGACGGGGTGATGAAATCGGAGCATTTGCAGGCACAAAGTGAAATCTGCTAGTGCAAGACAGGGTAACTTAGAGTTATTTGGGAGAAGTCTTCATCCTGCAGCGGACATTAAAGATAGGCTGACAACGATCACATTACCATAAGGTACGGAAACTAGATGTACAAGGTATCCCACTACGTACGGCCACCAGACTAATCATTATACCTTTTATGCTTTCCCAATAAGTGTTCCGGTCCCGCCGTGCTGATGAAAACTTGTAGTCATGGTAGGTTTTCCAGATGTAGATAAACTGGTTCTCCGAGCCACTGATGACGTACCTCCCGTCGTGGCTGCTGCACAGTAAGTAGGGTTCTCACTTGCCTGATCCCCAATATGATGCCTCTGGCTTACCTGAAGGACGCTTTGATTTGACTACTAAGGTTGACGTAGCCCTTGTACTTGCACGAGAGCGATAGGTCTCGCAGATCGTACAGACGAATGCGCGAGTCATTAGATGTCACAAGAATCTGCAATACAGAGCACACATAGACTTTTCAAGCAATAAAGCATTATTTCAGATTATAGTTAAATGCAGATTCAATTATGTTGATGAAATATCCAGTACAAGTAGGAAACACATAGACATTTAGGCCCCTCGATCCATACCATCTGACAGCTAATTCACTTTGTGAAGCCCTGAACCTTGAATTATAACAGCAATTGTTACAGTGCTGTACAGACCTCCTATAAATTACAAACCTCAGAAAAAGAGTTAATAATCTTGCCAGTCTGATGCAAGAGGAGATTCGAAATTGTAAACCACCAGAGTATAGCATGTACGCACAATTACACTTTGACATGAAGTGTGTAAGAACATACGTAGTAATTTGCACTAGCAACTTGGGCATAAATTGCCGCTGACTGTACACTTGCCTTGTCTTCTCCAGGCATAGGCTCAATACCAGTGATTTTGCGTCCCTGAGCATTCTTTCCCCGTGTAGAGCGTACGTGAATCTGGGTGTAGTATTTGAGCTGCTGCACAAAAGAAACCAAGTGAGGACCTTGCACCACGGCCAAAGATTGGCTTTACCTCAGTATTATAAAAGATGCACCGCCCATCGTAGGAGCCAACAACGGCAAACTTGCCCTTCTGGCAAAAGTTGGCAGCCGTTATCAACTTGGTCTGGCCGTCCAGCTCGTTCCACAGGGCAACTTTCTTGTCTGGAATGTTCCAAAGCCTAAGCTTGCCATCGAGGGAACCACTCAAAAAGTAGCGGTCAGTCCTGCAAGTGATCACAAGTGAGCATCCATCTTGCACCCCGCACACTAGCGTGGGCAACCTTACCCTGGGGTGGAAAGCAATGGCCGTGACAAAGTCGACATGCTGAAAGCAACACAGGCAGTCGCGACTGCTGATGTGCCACAGTCGCACAGTCTTGTCCATGGACGATGACAAAATAAAGTTGTTCTGCACAAAAAGAGAAAGGGCCGGAATACTCAGTGCTGTAGGAAAAGACAGCTATAAAAATACAATAAAACATTAAATAAGGTTATGTATTAAATGGTACGAGGTTCTACTGGTATGGGCACAATAGAGACATTGTAAGCTACGTATTGGCTGTGGGAACGTGTATCCTCTTCAGCGCCGGTGTGTACTATTGTACAAATCAACTATGGAGGTCGGTTACGCATAGAGTGAATAGTGTAAGCATATTTGTATAGGCTTTCTGAATGAACAACTTAAACTGCACTGTGCTGTGTATTGCTGCAGAGATCGCTTCGCTGGATACACTACCATGTTTGATGATTGTTTGATTTGTCCTGTTCCAGGATCAATGTCAAAAGTACTATATCCATTTGCTCGAAAGGAACACAACCAAAAACAAACTAGGCATATTTAATAATTTTTTATGCAAGAATCAAAGCTGACTGATTGCAGAATAACTAGATATTTAATTACATGTTAAGTAACATCAATTGCCTAAAGTTGCACAAAACAATGTGTTCCCTCATTTTCTTCATTAGGATGTAATACTGAATGCATATTTTCATACAATCCATCATAATTTGCACCAGAAGGAAATATTGGCAAAGCAAAGCTTTTTTACACATGCATGGACCGCTGAACCATTTGATAAGAGACACTGATCTAAGAGACACAAGTCGGCCTCCACTGAAATAGGGTTTGATAAAAAAATTTATCCGTGGTACCCTGCTTATAAGACGCCTCATATAAAAGGTACATGTTCCCAAATAAAGGGGTTCAACTGCACTTGCAAATGCACTTTCATTTTACACAGCACTTCTATGGTGCTGAATGTTATATAAAACTGTTTAATTAACAGGGTGTTTGGAAATTTATGCCTAACAACAGCTACAGTTGTGAGTGTATTAACGTACCCGTGACCATGACACATCCAAGAGGTCGGCTGTGTGTCCCGCGTACTTGCAAAAGGAACGGAAAGGTCCTTCTTCCTCCTCCTCTGGTGGTGGATCCGCTGTTTCTGTGGTATCGTTCTTGGTAGCTGCAAGAGGGCAAAAAGCAGAAGCCATGATGTTAACCTTACATACAGCCAAGCTGCACAAGTTGAAGGGACATAGAGAGACACATTAAATCAGTTGGACATCGACTCTGGCAATTTTTTTCTTTCACGTGTCAAAATAATGGTGTTTTCTATGTTCCCGAGAAGCTCCTGTCATGAGCTAGATAGCAAAAATACGAAGCAAATTGGAAAATAATCTTAAATAAGCAAAAAAAAAAGCATGACACTGAAAACTCGGCTTGAGCGAATATTCAAAAGTTTTGGATTTTTGAACAAATAATATTGTATTCTAATTCACCTAGATTCAAATTTAAACTGTTGAAAATCTACATACTACTGCTAAGCTCCCCTTCAAAGTTAAAGAAACGTATCACCCTCACATAAATTCATAATTTTTTATAAGTTTTAAAGCTTGTTAGGTTGGCTTATATCACTACAGTAAATTTTAAAACATACCATATTTTACAGGCTATCGCTTGCACTTTACCTAAA